CCAGGTGGATTCTCTGCAGACCCCACTGGGGGTCCAGGGCTCGGCTCTGCTGCGCTGTGGGGACGTTCTGGAATTTTCCTTCCCTCTGGAATGAGACCCTCAGGGAATAAATCGATTTTTCCTCCTTTTTTCACCACCTTGATTTGAGGTTTTGGTTTTTTTCTGGCGTTTCCCTTTTTTCTGCCCTTTTCCCACATTTCCCCTCCTTTTTTTTTTTGTCTTTTCTCCCCTTTTTCCTGTCCTTTTTCTCCCTTTTCATTTTTTTCCATTTTTTCTGTTTTTTCCCACTTTTCACCCCCTTTTTTCTGGCTTTTTTTCCCATTTCCCCACCATTTTTCCCTGGCTTTTTAATTTATGTTTTCCCGTGGCTTTCTCCTCTTTTTTCTCCCTTTTATTTTCCCTCATTTCCCCCTTGCTATTCCCTGAATTTCCCTTTTTTTTTTTTTTCATTTCCTGGACTTTCCCCCCTTTTTTTTTCCACATTTTCCACTTTTTCCTGATCTTTTCCTACTTTTCTTTGTTTTTTTCCCCTTTTCCTGACTTCTCCCTGCTTTCCCCCCCGTTTTTTTCTGGCATTTTCCCTTTTCTGACTTTCCCCCTTTTTTTCCTGACTTTTCCCCCCTTTTTTCCTGACTTTTCTCCCATTTTCCTGCCTCACCTCCCATTTTTTGTGCCTTTTTCCTGGTTTTCCCCTTTTTTTCCCCAGCTTTTCCTGCATTTTCCTGCCTCACCTCCCATTTTTTGTGACTTTCTTTTCCCTTTTTGTGACTTTTTTCTGTTTTTTCCTGACTTTTCCCCTCTTTTTTTGACACTTTTCCCCCCTTTTTTTTTTTCTTTTTTTTTTCCAGCTTTTCCCGGTTTTTTTGTTGTTTTTTTTTTTTTCCCCAGGATTGACAATTCCAGGGGTTGGGAATTTGGGATTTTTCCATGGATTTATTGGGGGGGGTCTCATCTGTCAGTGCCGGTAGTGGGGGCTCCGGGAATGGGACCGGGAATGCCTGTGGGGAAAAAACAACAACAAAAAAA